GCCCCCACGGCTGAAAGGGCGAGCATGTTTGGTCGTATGCGGATTCGAACCCGTGACCCTCAGATTGTGAGTCGAGCGCCTTATCCACCTGGCCATGCCGGGCTCGAGAGTTCTTTTATCTCGGACAGTAAAAGTACATATTACTAGTTTTGTTAACTAGTTTTTAAATTCTCAATACAGATATTATAAAAATGTATTTCTTTTTATATTATCAAAAAGTGTCATTTACAAATATTGATGTTAATGACATATTTTCAATACAAATGAGAAAGATATAAAGGTTGAAATTTCGAATATATTTGATGTTCGATTGAATGCACAAATAGGAATTGAATATTAGTGGGTTTGTTTGTTTGAAGTTAAGCATAAAGCTACACAATGGGCTATCTGTGCTCTGTCCGCCACGGGTATCGAAACTCGGATTCTAGTGTTGTAAGTCCGCAGACATGCCGCTGTGCCACTGGGGGCAAACTACATTGAAACAGACACGAGAGTACTGCTTTTCTCAACTCGAAGATGTTTAGATGCGATTTCTTAAACCCTGAGATCATCATGAAGTTTAATAAGTACTAGGAATTTCTTTTGTTCGCCACATTATTTAGGAGTTTGTTTCTAGAAATAATCAATTTTTTTATGTCTCGTTACAGTTCTAAATTTGTCCAGTTAGTTATTTGTTTTGTTTGAATAACAAATTGAAATTCCATTTATACATCTTAATGCCAGCTTCCTACTTGTTTATCTTTAATGCCAAATGTTTACTTTTTTAACCCTAATCTGTAATTCCTACATTGTAAAATCCACACGTATAATTTCATATTAAATTCCTTCTTCTTTAACCTTAATGTTTACTTACAAACTGTCCCCAGTAAGACAGCGGTAAGTTTACAGACTAACAATGTAAAAATCCGCGGCTCGATTCCCCGTGGTGGACACAGCAGATAGTCTCATGTGGTTTTGTCTAAACAGACAAACAGCTTACCAATTAAAATAAAATATAGCAACGAAAACTGAAAGCACATGAATTTACTTGACACCGGGTAAAAAGAGTTGAAGAAAGTACAGAATTTTTAGGAAGTAAATGACTCAACTTACAGATTAGATCTAGATAAGTATATATACTTCCAATAAATTAATATGAAATAACTGGATTATAGTCAAAATTTTCCAAAGATATTCATACACTAACGATTACATTTTTTAGTGTATGGTAGGTATTATTTTCTACAATTACAATTACACTCGCGCTCCGTGACTTCACCGCTGAAGTTTTGTTTTTGCTCTTGGTTGTCGGTAATTTTGCAAAACTTCCTTTATATACTTTGAAGTCGGAAATAAATTTTTGGGAGAGTAAAGCTCAAACCACGACTAAGTCGAAGGTTAAGGTCAAAGTCACTGAATTCAAAGTTACAAATTACTTAAAATTACATTTAGTTTGACAATTTTACTAAGTCAAGTCATATAAAAATTTCAAAATTACAAAAACCGGATTCGGTTGTACATATGAACAGTTTCTGTTTGTATTAAAAAAACTGTTTTGACAATCAACAAACAATGTTTAGTTCTTACTTTCAGCTAACAAAGCACGAGAAAAAAGCAACCAGATCTAAAAGGACATGAAGATAATCTCAGTATCAGTATATGTAATTCTGAACGTGTTGTAAAGTTTAATATATATAAAACTTTTGGGTGATTTATAGACTCATTTTTTTTTAAAAAGTCTTTATTATCCACCTCGTTTTTCACCTTCTCTTCTGATATTTTTCAAAAAATAAAACATCCATTTGATAAAAGAATAGTTATATATATATATATATTATGAGCACGTCCTGATTAATAATAGAATTTTCTTGGTAACACCATCAGTGGTTAAAACGACCCCCCCCCCCTCCTCCGGAAAAAAAGTAGAGCATTTTCGAACACCTGTCAGCATACTGTCAGCAACAGTTCTGAAAAGCAAAATTTCATTTAAAATTGCTTTCATTTTGTTAAATAATAACATTTTAGAAATTCTGCGTAAATAGAGTGATATTTCGAAATTATATTAGCCGTAATTTATGAGCACAAAAACAATTTATGCAATATTTAGGTGAAGTGAGAGTCTTTTGAAAAGTATTAAGAACATCTCCAAACAAGAACAAAACTACATATTGCTTTCACAATACAAGTGAATACGCTAGCGAGTACCAAACTCCTGCATGATAGAATGACTCAATCTAAGTGATACACTAGTAACACTACTTAAGATCGAAAGCTCGGATATCAGAAATGGCATTAGTTGACATGGTCGGTGACTAGATTGATTTATACGAGTCATTCCTCTGTAAGAAAGAAAACAATAATCAACATATGAATGCCGTTTGTTTTATAGGATAATTATTATAATAATAGAACAAACATCCAATAAATACAGAGTAGTTTGTGTTATTGTTTATTTATTGATAAGCACAAAGTTACATAATACGTTATATGTGCTCTGGCCCACGGCGGGTACTGAAACCCAATCTTAACGTTTTAAGCCTCCAGAGTTACCGCTGGACAGTTTTGTTAAAAAAAGGGTGAATTTTGCATAATATAAATGGACGTTCAATACTAACCAGAAATGAATAAAACAGTTCACTTATTTTCTTGGAAGATAAAACTAACTCTGAAAAATTAAATAGGAATCATTAAATAGCTTTCTCTGTCGTATAAAGTGTATTGATCATAATTCTGTAAAGGAGTTACGAAACTGAAGCCCTCTAGTGGCACAACGGTACGTCTACAGACTCACAACGATAGAAACCGGGTTACGAAACCCCTGGTGGGCAGAGCATAGATAGCCCATTGTGTAGCTTTATGCTTAACTTCAAAACAACAACAAAACTGAAAAAAAAAGACATCATTATAATTATATTCATTATAAATATATAAATATTAAAGGTAATAGTCATATTATAACTTTTTGAGAGAAGAGAGAGTTGACGTAATATAAATTTCCCATTATTTTGGTTTGTGAGGAGTTGTTACTCTCATCATTAGTATACATATAATGTTAGACATAGTGCCTTCGGATTTCAGCATTGTGATCCCTAACTTTGAACAACTGATCAGAAAGAGGGCGGTTAGCAGCACACACATTGTTAGCCAGATACCACTGTCGCTTTAAAATTCATATTAAAATTAGAAAACAAAAATGCAACATTTTTTCATTCGGAATAATAACATTCATTGTACCCGTTTTAATATTATTTGCTTTTTAATAGGCATTCTATAGATATTTAAGACACGTGCATATGTACAAATATTTATTAAGAATATATTACCCAGTTTTAACAGCTTTAATCCCCTCTATCGGTGAAGATCTATTATAGCGTTTCATATAATTAAAAATTCCAGGTTTGCGATCCTTCATCACAGTCCAAGTATTTGCTAAAGGAACTGTACCAAAACGAAAAGGTGGATCCAATTGAAAGGGGTAGTGAAGCTGCATGAGAAATGAAAATAAAAGACAGAAATTGGAGATACAAATGTACCAGGAACTAAAATCAATAAACTTATTGGTAAATTTGAAATTGTTTAAAAAAATATTATTAATATTCAGATTTCTATCTCTAGCCTTATATTTGTTAAAAATAATTTCTTAGAAAAAACAAACAAATATTTTGTTATATAATAGATACTATTAAATTAAGCGTAAATAAGAAAAGCATTAGACCAGGATAATGTGTTTCCTTGTTCCTTAAATAAAAGAAATAAGATCAGAAAATAACATATTATCATCTAGTACTATTTGGTAACGCAACTCACAGGAACACTGAAAGAAATGACAATATTAAATCCATTCTGTACGGATATAAAGTAAAATGTATAATGTAACATAAATTATTGTTTAATTTAAATGCTTATTAGATGTATTTTTAAAATGCCTTTATTAGCATAATGTTTGTTTCTGTAACATTTTTTATATCCTTTCTGTCACAACGCACTTTATTTTAGCACTTTAATAAAAGACCAACTAACCCATGCAAACTAGGTTACTTTCTTCTAATTTTCAACGTTTCGGCTGATGCTTTTATCAAGAATATTTTGATATAAATACATACAGTCGATAAGGTTTAGTCCGAAAACTTTATTTACTAAATGAAAATAATTTATCAAAAACGTTGCTCGAATTTGTAGTTCGAGATTAGAGAGGAAAGACATTCTTAAGGCAATAAAGTAGGTATAATAGGATCTCCTTAATAAAGGCGTAAGCCTAAACGTTGGACACACACGCACACAATAACGTAGTTTAATGGATTTAGTGGCCGTTTATTTCACAATAAATGGCTTTAGAACTCCAGTATGCTTTATGGACTTTATCGAAACCCTTTTGTCTAAAGCACATTTGAAAATACGGTAATCTCACAGTTCTTTACGTTTCTTTTTTTTATTATTCATTCAAATCTCTCAACACAATTTTGCCCTAATTTCTCTTTTTTGACACGTGTTTTGTCGTATTTTTATTTTCATACCAACGTTTTTTGAAAAAAAAGGTGAGGTTTCCTCTATGTGTTTCCGCTTGGATATATTCGTTTATTTCAAATTTTCTCCCACCCTAATGTATTTTACTCTAAATCACATCAATCTCTTTCTCTACATTCTGTATCTTCTTCCTCTCTAGCTAGTGAAAGTTTATGCTAGTCTTCCTTATTCTACTCATTTTTTTTCTTATCACCATCTCTCCAAGCTCAACGTTCTAGAAATTTCGAACTCAGTTTATCTGTTTTGACTTACTTTTCAACTACAAATCCGTGCTCATCGGGAGACTGTTCTGTTTCAATATACATCTCTGCATTCCCAAAATATTATATTTTTTGATTTATATATACATGCTATTGATACTGTTTTTTTTGTATCTCTTTCTGTATTCATTCCAAGAGCTTTTATCGCCGTTAGCTCCTTTCTTCATTTTCTTGCTGAAACTCATCCCAGCGTTCAAATATTTTCTTTTCTATTAACTTTAGAACTTAGGCTATACTTTGTTATCCAATCACAGTTTTTGCCTTTATCTCTTTGACTCTCATTATTTGCATTTCTGTATCTTTATCCTGTCATATCTTCTTATGTTTATATTTTGAAGAATAAGATTGATGTAATACTCACTCCCAACCTGCCCCCTGTTTCTGATAGTACAGTGGTAAGCCTCAGGACTTATAATGCTAAAAAGTGGGTTTCGATACATGCGGTGGGCCGAGCACTGATAGCAAATTCTGTAGCTTTATGCTTAACAACAAACAAACGTCCTCAACCCTATATTTTTCTCTCGACGTTTGCTCGCTATATATGTTTACTCTTTCATTATGACACATTTCTGTCATTAGTTCTGTGACTTTATGATTTACTGTGTAAAATATAAACTTGTAATAAATAATTAAAAACAACGTAGTACGTCTAAAAAATTGATGCTATTATTTTCTTCAATTTCATACGCGAATTGAATTGATGGTTCTTTACTATTTAAATAACTAGAAAATTATTTAACGCTTCATTTTTAAAACTATCCATGTAAAGGTCACATAAAAACAGTGACAAGGGGGGATTCCATAGATAAATAATAGTGAAGCAATGCGAAAAAAGGTAAAAGTATAAAGCATGGCTTGTAAGTGTCTTGTAAGTAACTCCTGAAGATGACGTAGATCACGTCAAAACTAGTACTTGTAGAGTGTTGGAATGTTGTTTTAAAGTGGAACCCGTACGGCTTCAATAAAGTTTCAATTCTATAAATAGTAAACGTTGTTTTTAATTATTTATTATAATTTTAAAAATTTACACAAGTGGCGGTAATTCATATGTATAAATATGAAAACGGGATTTACGGCGAAAACATTTACAAGACTGAGGAGTAAGTTGAACAATAATATCAAAGGAAGGAAAGTGAGCTATTGTTTAAACATGAACAATCAATAGATATAGAAGATTACAATAAAAGAAACATAAATCTTATAATAGACCTAGAATACAAGGTATACCACCTACATTTGAAGGCGAAAAAAGAAAATGAAGAAAACTGCAATGGGATTTACAACGAAAACATTTACAAGACAGAGTAGTAAGTTGAAAAGAAAGATAATTCAACTTAATTTCTTGGTGAAATGCAAAAGAAATAACATCATTCCGAAATTTAAACAAGTAAAAAGTAACATCAAAAGAAAGAAAATCGACTAGTGTTTAAACAAGATTAAACAACATATATTGAGGGTTACGATACAACAAAAGAGAAATTTCATAGCAGATCTGGAATACAAAGTGTATCAATTACATTTGGCGGCAGCAAAAGTAAATGGACAAAACTGGTTTGAATATGAAAATTTCTATTGGATTCGTACCAAGAAAAAGATTGATACATATAAGGCTAACTTAGATCAGAAATTTAAAAAGTTGATAGAAAAAGATTTGTTTGCAGTTAAGCACAATGCTACAAAATGGGCTATCTGTGCTCTGCCTACAGAGGATATCGAAACCCGGTTTCTAGTATTGTAAGTCCGCTGTGCTACTGGAGGGCAAAAAGAAAATGGAAATCAAAGTAAGCTAAGAGCATTACCAGGAAAATATAAGAATATTCTAGAGAATCCTAAAATAATTAATAATTCAGATGTAACGCTAAACACTAAACAGCCCCCCCCCCAAAGGCACAGCGGTAGGTCTGCGGACTTACAACGCTAGAAACCGGGTTTCGATACCCGTGGTGGGCAGAGCACAGATAGCCCATTGTGTAGTTTTGTGCTTAACTTCAAAAAACAAACAAAAAAAAACACTAAACAATATGAAGTGTTAGAAAAAGGCTTAGGTTATGTATGTAAATTAACGAATTATAATAAGAAAGAAATTATAACAAATATTGAAACCGACTTAAGTAAAGTAATAAGGCCTAATTGCGTAAAGGCTGTTAGAATAGGATGTCATAAAATTATAAAAAAGATTCAAACCTTTCTATAATAGACAAAATGTTGATTATAAAATCAATAAAAGAAAATAATAATATAATCGTTTGTAAAGCAGATAGAGGGGAGAAATTGTAATACTTAATAAAAGTGATTATGGCAAGGGGGTAGAAGACATGTTGAAAGAAAGTACATACGAAAAACTTAAGAATAACCCAATAAACAAATATCATAAAAACCTAAAAATTAGTGTTAAGAATAGCCTAATTCTAACTCCTCAAAAATAAAAAAAATTTAGCCAAATAGATTAATTGAACCAATGTTTCATGTAGTACCAAAAAATAGATGAAAATAATAACAGTTTTAGACCCATAGTATCAAGTATAGGTACACCATCTTATGAAATAGCAAAGTTTATAAACGAAAGTCTTCTATTTTGAGAGATAAGAAGAAATACACAATAAAAAATTCTATAGAATTTGTAGAGAAGATCAAAAACATAAAATTAGAATAGGAAAATCTCTTTGTATCTTTTGATGTAATATCGTTGTTTACAGAAGACGCGATTAGATGTTTTGAGAATAAATGAATAGAAAACAGAATACCAGCAGTTGAAATTATAGACAAATAAAGATAACAAGTTAACCAAAATCACTATAAAAAAGAGGGTTTACCTTGTTACCGTTGTTCTGTGGCCTTTAAATGAATAGTTTTGAAAATGAAGCATTAAATAATGCTAAATTTAAACCAGAAGTTTGGATAAGATATGTAAATGATACATTCTTAATGGGGCGACATGGCAACAGTAAACTATAATAATTTTCTAGTTATTTAAATGGTAAAGAACCATCAATTCAATTCACGTATGGAATTAAAAAAATAATAGCATCAATGTTTTAGATGTACTAGTTAGAAAATAAACAGAAGGTAACTTGGAAACAACAGTTTATAGAAAACCGTTTGCTGTTGTTATGCCGCCACACAAAGAATCATGTCATATAAAAACAAAACAAATCTCTGCATTTTACACATTTGTTTATAGAACTTTAAAAATATGTTCAAAATAGGAAGATTTAAATAAGGAATTATTTTTAATTAAGTATTAGGTCGTCAAGAAATTAATGTCGCTTTTTTTTGGATGAAAAACCCGAACAAT